TTTTTTCTTTTTGCTTATGTGGTGCTGAGGAATCAAACCCAGGGCCTCAGGCATGCAAGGCAAGTGCTCTACCACTGAGCCACCTTCCCAGCTAGAGTATACTTTTTGTATTCAATGATGGTGGCATCCTAGCAATCCAGGAGGCTGAGATCTGAGAATCAAGGTTCAAAACTAGCCCAGGCAGACAAATCTGAGGCTTATCTCCAAGTAGCCAGCCATCAGAAAGCCAGAATTGAAGCTGTGGCTTGACTGGTAGAGGGCCAGCATTGAATGAAGCAGTTCAACTGGTAAGCACATAGCACTGATTGTGTTAAGGGGGCAGAAGGGAAAGAACAATGAGCTGAAATCTCAACATAGCTGAGCTCTGATCGTAACTCCATTGGTGCCTCTATTAAAGATCTGGGTCTCTCTGGAATATATGTTTTGTTCCAGTACTAAGGCTTGAACTCAGGACCTGGGTGCTTTCCCAGGGCCGGGCTCTCTGTCATTTGAGCCAAAGTTCCACTGCCAGCTTTATTGGTGGTTAATTGGAGAGAAAAGGTTTATGAGTATATACACATGGATATATAATAGCCAATATATTATTATATCATGCAATAGCATATATCTAATACATTATAATACATCTTTATGGATTAATATCTAAAAAGATTATGAAGAATGAAAAGAAAAACTCTTGCTTCTTGTGTATCTAGGACCTGTTGGCACTGGGTTGAGTAGGATTGTGATGCCAGGGAGGAGAGTGGCCTGTTCACTGGTGAACACCTGCCTGTACAGGGTGCTCAGAGGGAGAATGTGTCTCACGTAGTGCTATCTCCAGGTAGACTCCTGGCTTAGGGTGTTTTCTAAGAACCTTTAGATAAGAGTTTCAAGACCACATGCATTGAAATCAGGACTTCATGTTTTTGGAGATGAACTGCACGGCAGAAAACCTACTTGTAAACAATCTAAAGTTAGTGTTGATCCTGAGGTGGTCACTTGATATCGGAGGATTGCCAAGACCTCTAATTAGTATAGGAAAATTCAGAATGTGGTCTTGGAGAAGGGGATCATGGTAGCCGGACCTGTGAGATCTGCCTGAGAAGAACCCTGTTTGGGTCTTGTTTAGGTGTCTACCCAGTAACTGTGCGGCCCAGGTGACTGGTACCACTGGAGGCAGTTACCTCCCCCTTCTCTGAGGTCACTCCCTCTTTGGACCCTGGGAGGTTCCCAGGCTCTAAGGTCACTTCTGCAACTGGCTCAGCAACACTTTCTTCCTGCCCGGGTATGGCCACACCTTCCCTTACCTGGCCCCACCTTACCCCTGCCTGGCTACACCTTCTCCCTGCCCTTTCCCTAGTTAAACCTGGGCTGGGCAGCTGCCCTTCCCTTCTCCAAGTGATGCTGGGGTGGGCAGTTCAGAATAAACTTTTCTCTCTGCCTGGAGACTACATGATAGTCCCTTTTTGGTTGCCTAATTAAAATCTAACAAAACTCACTGGTATAGGGCTGGGAAGGTGGCTCAGTGGTAGAGCGCTTGCCTTGTATAGATGAGGCCTTGGGTTCGATTCCTCAGCACCACATAAGCAGAAAAAGCTGGAAGTGACACTGTGGCTCAAGTGGTAGAGCATTAGCCTTGAGCTGAAGAGCTGGGAGACAGCGCCCAGGCCCAGAGTTCAAGCCCCCCACAAATGAAAACAAAAACCAAAAAAACCCCCAAAACCTCACTGGTATGGACAGTTTTGAGTTTATACCATGTATTTTCTCTCAAGCCCCAGAGGCAGAATGTCACATAGAGAGAAAGCACCTGGGCACAAAGTGCATTGAAGCAGATTCTGCTATTTCTCAAACCTTCTGAGCCAACAAACTCTTTAGATATTATTTAACCTCTTCCTGCTTACAATATAAACAGGGGAACCAAAGAGCAGGGCCCTCAGTTAGTGGCAGAGCTAGGCCTCAATTCCAGAGTGCTTGATGCTTAGTCCAGAGTTTAGGTCAGACAGGCCAGAAGAAATCTTCTTGCCCTGCAGGAGCTGTGTGTGACACCCTGACGACCCCTTCCCCCAGGTGGGATGGCCATTACCTTGTCGAAGCTGCCACCTACAGACACAAAACAGGATAAGGCCCAGAATCAAGGAGACGACAATGATGGCCACAGCTAAAATGATCCAGAAATAGTCCTTCCACCAGGTCATTGCAGCGGGATCCTAGGAGGAATGGAGACAGAAGCCAGAGGTATGAGTGCTCAGCAGCCTGGAATGAGACGGTTCCTACCACAGGTGCTTAGAGGCTCACAGTGGAAGCCGGGCGTCAGCAGGGAGGAGACCTCAGGCAAGACACGTGACATGGGAAGAACGCCTCCTGCTACTTCACAGGGGTTTGTGAGGATGGATTTATGGTTGAGTGCCTACCAGGCTCTTTTTTTTTGCCGGTCGTGGGGCCTGAACTCTGGGCCTGGGTGCTGTCCCTCAGCTCTTCAGCTCAAGGATAGTGCTCTATCACTTGAGCCACAGTGCCACTTCCAGGTTTTTCTGCTTATGTGGTGCTGAGGAATCGAACCCAGGGCCTCATGCATGTAAGGCAAGCACTCTACCACTGAGCCACTTTCCCAGCCCCCTACCAGGCTCTTCACAGAGCAGATATATGACCACTGCTCTTTCTTACATTGCAAAATTGCGATGGAGAGGAAGAGTACTGCTAAAAGCCATAATTGATGACACTTTTTGAAGTATGTAATAACTCAGGAGACAGAGAGTTCTGAGAGCATTTTATTATTATTGTAGTAGTAGTAGTTGTTGTTGTTAAGATAGTCCTGAGGCTTGAACTCAGATCTGGGTGCTATTCCTTAGTTTTTTCACTCACGATTAGCATTCTACCACTTGAGCTACAAATCTACTTCAGACTTTCTTGGTGGTTATTTGGAGATAAGAATCTCACAGACTTTTCTACCCAGATATAGCTACAAACCATAATTCTTAGGTTTTCGTTCTTAGCCTCCTAAGTAGCTAGGATTATAGGTTTGAGCCACCAGCTCCCCACTCCCTAGCATTTATTTATTTGTTTGTTTGTTTATCTTTGCTGGAAGTTGAACTGAGGGCCTAGGTGATGTCCCTAAAGCTTTTTTTTTGCTCAATACTAGTGCTCTACCACTTGAGCCACAGCTCCACTTCTGGCTTATTGGTAGTTCATTGAAGATAAGAGTTTCACAGACTTTCCTGCCTGGGCTGACTTCAATTCCTGATCCTCAGATCTGTCTCCTGAGTAGTTATGCTTATAAACATGAGCTACCAACTCCTAGGCAAGCTTTTATTTTTTGAAGGGGTGCAGGGGAAGGCTACAAAAATACCTAGATGGACACTTTAGGTTTGACTATGAAATGAGGCTTGGTACTCATGTCATAGAATTGAGGAGTAGTGGTCCCTAGGTCATAGTGTTGAGAATCAGTGAGTCTTTAAAGAGACAATTGGGTTATGAGGGATATCTCATGTGAGTGAACTGTTGCTCTTGCAAGACTGTTTATCACAAGACTTGCTTCTTTTCTGCATGCATCCAGTTCCCTTCCTGCCATGAGTTGAAGTAGCAAAAGGCTCTCATCAGATATAGCCATCTGGGGCTGGGAAGGTGGCTCAGTGGTAGAGCGCTTGCCTTGCATACCTGAGGTCCTGGGTTCGATTCCTCAGCACCACATAAGCAAAAAAGAAAAAAGCTGGAAGTGGCGCTGTGGCTCAAGTGGTAGAGCGCTAGCCTTGAGCTGAAGAGCCAAGGGACAGCATCCAGGCCCAGAGTTCAGGGCCCACGACCGGACCCCAGATATAGCCATCTAACTTTGGGCTTTCCAGGCTTCAGAAATGCTTTGTGATTCTAGCTACTTGGGAGGGTGAGATGAGAAGAAGCACTGTTAGAGGCCAACTTGAACAGAAAATTTCTCAAAATTCCATCTGGTGGAGGAAATATGGACACGGTGGTGTGTGCCTGTCCTAGCAACCATGGGAAAGCCAAAATTGGCAGATAGTGGTTTAGGTGCTTTGCCTGCACAGGAACCAAGACCTTATCCTAAAAATAAATAGTGAAAAACAGGGCTAATGCATGGTTCAAGTGATAAAGAAGCAGCAAACATGAAATCCTGAGGGCTGGGAAGATGGCTCAGTGGTAGAGCACTTGCCTTGCAAGCATGAGGCCCTGGGTTCGATTCCTCAGCACCACATAAGCAGAAAAAAGCTAGAAGTGGTGCTATGGCTCAAGTGGTAGAGCGCTAGCCTTGAGGTGAAGAACTGAGAGACAGCGCCCAGGCCCAGAGTTCAGGCCCCATGACCGACCAAAAAACAAAAAACATAAAAACATGAAATCCTGAGTTCAAACCCAAATATCAAAAAAACCATAAACAAATGTGTTTTCTTTAGAAATTATTGAGCTGTTGTTCTGATATAGTAATAGACAACAGACCAAGACAGCAGATCTCTTTGAGTATGGCCTGGTCAGGAGGCCAAGCCGACAATGCGGAGCACACTGGGTTAGTGTTCCTAAGAAGAGGTACCAGAAATTTCCAGGCTGGCAGAGTAGAGAGGAGGCAAGTCTAGCAACACAGAACAAATCATGACAGGTGCTGGTGGCTCATACCTGTAATCCTAGCTACTCAGGATGCTGAGATCTCAGGATCACAGTTCAAAGCCAGTCTAAGCAGGAAAATTCATGAGACTCTCATCTCCAATTAACCACCAGAAAGCCAGAAGTGGTGCTGTGGTACCAAGTGGTGAAGCACTAGCCTTGAGCAAAAATGCTCAGGGATGGCACCCAGGCCCTGATTTTAAGCCCCAGATGAAGAAGAAGAAGGAAGAAGAGGAGGAGGGAGAGGGAGAGGGGGAGGGGGAGGAGGGGAGGAGGAGGCAGCAGCAGCAAGTCTGAGCATAGTTAGAAAGACCCCATAGTGGAAAATGACCAGTGTATTTATAAAGCACATGAATAATATTTGTTCTTTTGTGTGTGTGTGTGTGTGCCAGTACTAGCTTAGCATTTTTGCTCAAGGCTTCATGAGACACAGTTTGGATTTTGGTAATTTGTTGGATATAAGAATCTCTTGTGGGCTGGGAAGGTGTCTCAGTGGTAGAGCACTTGCCTTGCATGCATGAGGCCCTGGGTTCGATTCCTCAGCACCACATAAGCAAAAA